TAAGAAAGCTTTAAACCCTTTTTGTAAGGAACATTTTAGTCATGTATCAGCAAATTACCTTGTATCTGAATTTTTTATTTTAATATCTACCAAAATTGCAATTAAAATGTTCTTTTATAGTATGGTGCTATATTGCTCTGCTCTGTTTCACATTTCATTTCAGGTTTAAAAAAAAAAAATAGGCACTGTACACAATCTTGAAATATTTGTGATTTCACCAATATCTATTTTTTGGCTAAAATCTCTTTCAAAAATACCCAAATATAACATCTTGATTATTATTATGTTTTTATGATGATTCTTAAGTGACCTGAAAACAAAACTAGTTCAGATAAGAGCTGAACTGGATTCTGATGTGGACTGCAACATATGTATTTGAAACAGCAAATATGTGACATTTTGGATTTACAATGTCTAGTAATAGGGGCATTTTATACTTGAATAAAGTCATTTTCTGTTGTATTAGGTAAACCTGTCATATTTAGAATATCAAATCCGAATATATTGAACAAACAGAATAAATCCGATATGATATTCAGGTTTTACATGGTGAAAGCAAGTTTAAACTGCAACCGATCAAAATTTGTAATCTTTGGAATATATATAGAAATCGCAAGACTGGTAATGTTTTTCCTGCTAACAAGCCCCTGAAAAAAAGATTTATCGAAAAACTATCAAATGTATTTCCTTCGCAGATTACTTTCAGTATTGCTTAAAAAGGTTGTGCTTATTTTTCCATTATTGTTTATCCGTATAGAAAACTATTGCATGTCAAACTGATAACAAACCGCGACCAAGTTATTTGAAACGATTGAGTTTTTCAGAAAACTTGATTTTTTTCTCCAAGCAATTTTCTTGGATACTCTCACCAAGTGTGAGTCAATACTTCTAATAATAGAAATACTCCCTTTACACCAAACACTAAAAAGCTCACATAAATACACAAGAGAGAAATGTAAGTTCTTAACACAGACAAAAGACGAGGCGGCGATCAAATTAATGGCAAACTTCATCACAATATACAGTAAAAAGAATTTTTGATATAATGAGCCATGCACATATACAAAAAAGTGTACTCTCTATATTTATATTTATTGGCACATGATTTAGACATCATACCTATTACTGCTCATCATTAACATGTTAGATCATAACCTTTGTAACAAATGTGCCAGTGTTAGTAAACATTATCATTATCAATAATCCTTCTTCGCACACAAGAAGGCGATATTACATCCAGCGTTTGAAGACGAAATATGCTTAAATCCATAACAGTGCAGGGACACGAACATGTCCTTCCTCATTATAACTGATGATCATACACGGCAGTTGAATACCTAGGGGTAAACGTGTTTATTTATCCTACCTCAATTATAGAAAAGTCACTGGTTTCATTAGGATACGTTCCTTAGTGGCAGTGGTATGCAGTCTGCTCTGATTTAACCAGAATAAATGTTCTCGCATGACTACTCCACTTGGCTCAGACCATGCGACATGGCGCACCATCGTGTAATGCAGGCTAACTGGGAATTGTTTTACCAGCCTAATCATGCGCAATTTTACTTGACTGTAACGTACAAAGTTTAATGAAAAGAAAATAGTCAAAAGACAATGAAAGCCATTGGGAATTTCCCACCTCGAAGTTTACAGAGGCAGCAAAAGGAGCCTCTATTTAAGTATGCGGGCCACACGGATAGACCACAAATAGAAAAAGAAAGAATTGCACAAAAACTTTAAATGTCTGACAAATGTTTCTATTCTCTAAAAATATATGTACCCCCCCCCCCAAAAAAAAAAAAAAATACATACATACATATTTATTAGCGACATCTTTCTTAAATTACCTTGTACTGGTCAAATATACACTTATTAACCCCTTTGTTATCATTTTTACATGTTTTAACAAATTTAACCTTTGAGAAAAATTAATAATAATCATGATTGTGTCATTTGCTACTAGACAGGTGACTTCTCTTTGTTTTCAAGTAAGATAGCCGCATGTATCTCATTTATTTTCACGGATTCTGCACCCGAGTAGAAGTTTACCAATCAAGCACAATCACATGGCGAGTTTTCACGCCATTCTCTTACGGCTGATTCGAAGAAAACAATTTTTTCATCTTGGTCGAGTGAGCTATAACGCCTGGTCATTTCAAGTAGAAAATTCCCGCGTAACGCCACCACTGTCGCTTCCGAGAGAGCGTCCTATGGACACTATGGCCAAACGCCGGTCTATAATTTACTGGGAAAGACCCTCAATTTTCGGCGGATTAAAATCAGACCAGTTTAATGTTGTTTTCCATGTCGTTGACCATTCGAGTGCGATTTGAGTAGCGGAATTGATTTGCTGCAGATCTCCAAGGTAATTATAGCGATCTCAGCTAAGTCGCCCTTGTCCGTAGTATGAGAGGCACGCTGCTGCTCTTGCCTCTGGCGTCAAGAGCACCAAGTGCATCTCTGGATGGAAGCAGTCTTCAAGAGGCATCATGCAGATGTTTAGTAAGGTTCAACAAAGGTCACAATCCAAGTCCCCTATGGAAATTACACTGAAAGCATAAACCCGTAGATAACAGAATTTTTAAACTCGGGATTTTTTTCACGAATTTTTTTTGTCTAAATTTTTCATGCGGATAGGGCGCAAAATTAGTTCCCCAATGTTGGTCATTATGATTCAATTTTTAGCATTTTTTCCACACCCAATTGTTGTCACGCCTGCTTATTCCCAAACGGCCCCTGTCCTTGCAACATTCTGTATTTTTATACTATATATCCCATATCGTAATGATCGTTTCTGTCTATATTCATAGTATATCAGCAATACTACAGAAATCTCGAGAGGGTGACTCGGAAGCTACAGCCTACACGATAGCAGAGCTGATCTACGATGCTGATGAGCACATAATGCAGACGAGGCGGTAGACTATTTATCTAAGTAAATATGTCACTGTTAACCTGGGGATTGCCTGCACACAGTTCATGCAACTTCCACAGACGTATAGAAGTTATTAAACTAACGAAGCTTCAATAAACTTGTTACGCAGAGATGCGTGAATTATGGTTAATTATTGCTGCAGGGCATTAACTAATGAATCCCAGGGCTGCAAAGCGTGGTGAGATCGTCCTGTTCTTTTACTTGCTTACATCTTTGATTTCAATAGGAAACAAAAAGAAATCGTAGTGAGATTATTGTGGTGGAGATTGAAGAATTGTTAACTACCGGTTTATCAGTTCCCCGAAGAATTTCAATCGACAAGGCAAAGAAAAAAGGTTGGATTCGCAAGGAAATAGTTAGGTATGATGAAATTAAATAAAAATTTGTAAATGTGCGAATACACCATCTTTAATATAGTCAGGGAGCCTAGATTTTTTTCACATGCACAAGGTGAAATAAAAAAGTTGATTTTAGAACAATAGATTTCAAGGGTGTTAAATATGATTCTTGGTACATTAGATAAATTAAAAAGGAAGTGTCAGACACCATGTGTAAAAACCGGTCATAAGAAAAGAAGCTGTCGTAATTATTTAGAAACAAGCTGGTCGGCAATCAATAGTTTCAAGACTGCCCATCTGGTATATATTCCTTTTTTCATTTTCGCGGTATCCGTTTGCTGTGCAAACAAAAGTGTATTGCGTTTTAAGAATGCATCAAAATTATATTGATATGCTTCAGGCCCATTTTTAGACTCACATTCGTAGAGATAGTTCAAATGCTCCAAAATGGTCCAGAATCAAGGAGTACACGGTATCACCACTATATCCCCACACCACTCCTACAGTTTTAACTCTCTTGTGCTATGTGCTAAATACACGATCGGTTATATGTACCGTTGACCACTGAACGCTGCTACCAAATCTTTGTTCAGGTGCGCCATCTTCTAGCAGCAAGGTGAAATATATTGTACCATTTGTGGAGTACTCGTATCTTTTTCCTATATTTTCATTCAGCGTGAAGGAGGATAATATCAAAAATATTATACTGATATGCATAATTACATATTTTCAAAAGCGACGAGATTTTTACCAACCACACGCTGCGTAAAAGACTGCGTGTATCTGAGCGAATGAGCTGTCGCCAGTTGTAGTATATATAGCTTATGTGGGTAGTTAATGCCACTCTTTGATTTCAGTATCAATCCTTGTGTTTTTATGATAGTATCTTTAAAACAACAGCTAAGATCAATTATTTGCAATCCAAAATTATGTAAACCATAGTAAGTGAATATATCACACAGCTGATGAAATACTTTTTTAGACCTTTTGTTACATTTGAATGTTTTTTTGTGATATTTTCATTTAGAAAAAAAAAATTCATCTATTCCATTTCAGTTATTCTATCAGCTAGTGGGAAGGTTATGTGCCCATGCTCACCACACTCATCGGTCCTGGGCAGTCTCACTGTGGTCCCCACGTCGCATATTAATGACCTAAATAAATAATTAAATATCTCTTCATAATTTTCCTTTCACCTTCTGCTATTTAGGCCACCTTGTATTCAAAGTTAAGATGACAAGAACCTAAAGCCCACCCCCCCTCTCTCTCTCTTGTGTCAGCTCACGTCTACACATCCCAGCGAGTTTTACCTCCACGAGGTCCACAGATTTATAGTTTAATGAAATTGCTTCAAAACAATATTGCGTTCGCATCTTAGTTACTAAGAACTTATGTTGGTTCAGGCGCTTTTAAAAAGAAAATCTTCTTATAGCAAAGTACTGTTCCATTTAAATATCAAATGCAGGATTTGATTGATGGTACGTAGGTCACTTTTACGGCACCCATCTCTCCTTAAAAAAGTGAAAACGGGGAGAAATTTAACTTTCAAGAAAAGCGTCTTTACTTCTTGAGTAATAGCTTTTCCTACATCTTTATTTTGGTCTTATTTTTACTCTATAAATGCGGTATCGGAAAAAAAACGCAATTCTGTCCCAGTACCAACTACCGCAATGCATTGGTAACAACTGCTCACGTATAGAGTCATTTGTCCTTCCACCGACACCGTTTACTGTTCAACTACCATCCTAGACCGGGCTGTTGAAATGGCACCAGGGACATTGGTCGTCGTATTTTCATTTCTTTGGGTTCGGTTTACTATACTGCCTTTCGTATATGGCCTACCCGTGTCCGGTAAGTTTGAGCGCAAGTTATTTTCTTTTATAACTTTTTATACAAAATGGAAAGGTTTGTGGACGAAAACTGACCACCACACAGGTTTTTGTCTTCACAATAGTGAAGACCAACTAGATTATTTAAGCTTGTAAATAAAAGTCTAAATAAAAGTTTTACGTAACAGGCTTTGAGTTTTCTGCAAAACGGGGCTGGTTCGATTGGACTAGATGTTGGTTTTTCAAAAACCGTACAGTATACAGTCCAGCATATTGCTCAGTGGTTTTTACACTGTTTGGAATGCATATTTCAGACCAGTCTCTTCCCAGGGCTTGTAATTCTGCACTTCGGCCAGAAAGACTCAGTGGTGTGAAGGGAGTCTTTATGTCACCACGTACTGAACACGGTATTTATCCAAAAAATGTGAGATGTGAGTGGGACATTCAAGTTGCCACCGGCATGGTAATATCTGAATTATTCCCAGTTGTTTTTGAATGTTTGATTTGTTAAAACGATCATTTTATCTGAAAATTTAGATATATGGTTTCGTTTAATTACTTTTTTTCTATTTTCGATTTCTGATTATGATTTCTCTTTGAATATGACGTCATAGTTAATAGCACCAAGTAAGAGACCCAAGGACCCTTGTGGATATATGATAAGACAATTGGTCCCAAAACTGAACTACTGACGTTGCAGTTCAGATATGTGTTATCACTGTTAAGGGACAATTTTGATATTATATTTCAGATTGTAGAAATAACATTTCAAGAATTTGAATTGGAGGAGTCTGTCGCCTGCATCTATGATCATGTGACGTTGCTAGATGGTGGGCCCGGCGGTCGTGTTTTAAAGCAATTGTGTGGAACTGACGGCGTTGCGGAGTCTCCTATTCTGTCTATACACAATAACGTTAGAGTGATTTTTGAATCTGATGCTTTTACGCAAGGCAAAGGGTTTAAAGGGTTTTATGTGCCATTTGATCCAGCAAAAAGAGGTAATTCGTTAATTATAAACATTTTTCCATCACTTCATTTTCTTTCATTTTGCATTTTTTTTAAATCTTAGGTTATCGTTGTCATCTATTGGTAGAAATTACTAGTTTCACAAAAGATTTGGAACCCAGAAATTGAGATTTAGGGAAACATTTTAAAAGATTAATGAGAATGCTATCCCATGATTGTAGATGACATCGATGGTGATCCGTGTGATGGAACTCCCCTTATTTTTCAAACCTTCTCGAGCGGAATTTTTTCCTCGAATTTCCCCGGCCGGAATTACTACGGCTATAACCAAGTCTGTGAATGGAGGCTTTTGGGACCACCTGGCACTGTAAGTAGTCATATTGTTATTATCAGAGACATGAACGTTGAGTTTTATGAAAGAGCTTCAACGTTCAAAGAATAAAATAAATGGTTTACAATAAAACATTGGCATTTTATTTAGATACTTCTTCGATTTACCTTTTGTTTTAAGCATTTTATTATTTCCTAGAAATGAAATGAACAATGTATTGTTTAAAGAGGGCCTAAAAATAAAGTGTCGGTCCTATTGTAACCATTTCTTTCTGTTGCAAATTCAAATTTCTTGTTTGTTAATCTGCTTTGGTTTTATATTTCTAAATTATCCAAATGTACATTTTCTAGGTTTTCCAGCTTACATCTTTGAATTTCAATGTAGAATATACCGAGAAGTGTGTCAAGGATCATATGACGATATATGACGGTAGTGATCCGTCTTATGCCATAATTGAGAAATCCTGCGGTTACCACGCCCAACCTCTCCGCTTCAATTCCACTGGGAATGCATTGTGTGTGAGATTCATAAGTGACAATACCACTACTGGAACGGGCTTCCGATTCAAGTTTTGGAGATTTGAAAGTGGTAAGTTTATGCATCAAAACCAGACCACAATTCATGTTCGGACTTGATCTGAACACTTTCTCTACTTCTATGATCTGAACTAGTACGAGGTTGGTCTGGAACTCTACCCAACTGAAGATCCCCAAAATTCAAGAGTGTAGAAAAATACAACATTGGTCAAAAAGGTTGTCCCAACCCCATGTGCTTTTATTTACAGATGATCGCCTCACAAGTGTAATTTTTTTAACAGTGCTTTTTATTCAAGATACATGGTTAACATGATTAATGGTTCATAAATACAAACTAGCGGTGAAAATATCCACATGGAATTGGGGGTGGGGCAAGGAACAACGTTTTTTGACAAATGTTGTGTGTCTGTGTGTGTGTCTGTGTGTGTGTGTGTGTGTGTGTGTGTGTGTGTAGAGAGAGAGTAAATTTCATTATGATCATACATTTTACTTTATCATTCAATTCTGTTTACAGAGGATAATATTAAACTATTGGAAAAACATTACGAACCAGCTGGAATCATAATCGTGGCAGGGAAAGGAAAAAACATCTTGACTCAAGTAACTAAAGGCAAATCCACCGGGGCTCCACCTGCCCAGACTTTTACAAGTCCTGTATCAGTGCCAAAGAAGACGTCAGCAATTACCAAAACAATACCTGTTAAAACAAAAATGGACCCAGGCTCAGTTACGAAACAGCGTGTCATTTCGCATCAACCTGAATTTGCTACGGCTTTGACGACTTCTGTCCCGTTTTACACGAAAGCGAAGCTGGCACAAACCGTTAAATCTGAAAAGCAAGCAAAAATATCCAAATTGGTCAAAGAATTCAATCACGTACCGCATTCTACCTTAGTTATTACCCCAACGACCTTGAAGCCAGAGAAAATTTCGATGAAAAGTCAACAGTACTCGACATCTTCAGGCATCAACATCGTTTCACAGACGTCTTTATTTACAACTGCAACGCAGACCACTAGAGAAATAATTGGTACACGTGTACCTTCTATAAAGTACAATCAACACCCTGAAGGTTCACAGAAAGAGAGCGAAGAGCTTGATGCTGCTCGTCATTGCCGACCTTCCCTTACACAAGTGGACTCAGTTTCCGGGTTTATCAGGTCTCCAAACTATCCCCATCAGTATGATAGCAATGTATTCTGTGAATGGGATTTGACGGCTCCTGAAGGCAAGGTAAGTAAAACGTCTACACGTCTTTAAAATAGTAATAATTATAATGCTTTTATTTCATCATGATCAAACCATCGTTGCTTTTATAATGCTTTGTAGATTTATGGCGTTTGATATCCTCAGAAACGCACTGTTAGTTGTTCAGATATTGTTGGTAATTGCTTTTAAAACGGAATAAATCCACTTCCTATTTTCTACTCAATATTCCATTTTGTAAATGACTTGAAGTTTGCGAAGAAAATAGCATTGATATAAAAGTTTTTCATTAAAATCCTTTGTTATAGGTTATAAGGTTTGAAATAGAAACGCTATCCATTGAATTCCACCCAACTTGCAATTACGATAGCCTGACCATTAAGGTGCTAGACCGAGAGGAGTACAGAACGCTTGCACAGTATTGTGGGTCATACCGACCGAGCCCGACCTTCATCATTGTACCTCAGAGAAGAGCTAAGGTTGTGTTTCAGACGGATGCATTTACAAACAAATACGGGTTTTCGACTAAGTATATCTTCACAGGTGAGTTAAATGAAATGCAACACTAATAAAATGACGACTTACTTTTTCATGCATTGAAATTTATATCCCGAATGAAAATAATTGATATGCGTTTCTTTTTTGATAATATTTGCTTTAAAATTATTGGTTTTAACTTCTTACAGTTCTTGCTGTCTGTCCAAAGAGTGTAACAATATCGCCTGTAAATATACGTTTCAGAGTGCGCAAATGAAGAGGAATATTTTGAATGTGGCAGCGGTGAATGTCTGCCTTCTCGTAAACTTTGTGACGGGAACAGAGACTGTCGTGATGGTGGAGACGAGAACACGAGATTTTGTGCACGTGAGTGGGTGTTTCAATGTTTAATAAATTGTGCTCTCCATGTAAGATTGACTTAATTAACTAAAACTTATTTAGCCTTAGGCTTATCGTATATGTATGATGGGTCCAAGTCTACGCGTTGCATGTAAGTGTTTTTATGGGATTGCTACGTATAAATGATTTCTCTCCCTTTAGCTACATGGGCGCTGTGCAGCTTCATACAATTTTCTACGCTGTATTCACCTTGGGTCTAGAAGCTTAAATAGTTCAGATCCCGTTTTGTTTCAGCTGACTGTGGTATTAAATCGATCGAAGACATTGAAGCCACACCCAGAGTCCTTGGCGGTGTTCCAGTCAAGTCGCCGACAGCGTGGCCCTGGGTTGCCGGAATCGTGGACCTCTCGGGTCGCCTGCTGTGTGGGGCAGCTCTTATTTCACCTTCATGGGTGCTGACCAGTGCTCATTGTGTCCAAACGTGCGTCTTTAAGTTCTGAGAATATTAAGTCATCGACAGTTCTTTCATGTCTGTCTTTCAGATAACAAAATAGGGTTGAAAAACCCTTCAATATTTATCCAAAGTAAAGTTCGCCATTAAAATATGATATTTTGAATGGAAACATTTCTTACATTTCCGTCTGGTCTGTTTTGAGTTCTTGCTGGTTTTTCTATCTAAAACATTTTTGTTAGGTTCTTATCAACTTAAATTACGACCACAAACATAAAAGGATTGCTTCATAACTTTTCCACTCAAAAGATATGAAGTTGTCAGTTATTCAATCACTCACCTTACGTCCAATAGCTATGTCATTAGTATTCGATTACGTATTTTACAGTGCAACTTCAGATCAGCGAAAAATCCATATTGGGTCACATGTAATGGATAATGTCAATAGCAATAGCGGTGTTTCACAATTGATGGAGATATCGAAAATAATCAAGCACCCGAGGTATCATAATAAAACAATGGAACACGATTTGGCACTCATAAAACTTGTCCAGGCCAAAAGTGGAGCGACTGCCATTTGTTTGCCAGAAGCAGAAGATTTGGTAGTTGATGGACAGGCGTGTGTTATGGTAGGGTGGGGAGCTGGAAAAGGTAGGGTGGCATTTTGAAATATTTTTATTTTATCTTTTTATTTTCATTTATTTACTCTGTTTAATTTTCTATTTGAACCTTAAGCCTTACCCATGTGCGAAAACGGACACTTCAAAGGGAAAGTACTAAATGAGTACAAGGTATATTACATTTAAAATAACGCAGAAATATAATTAAAAATATACCACCTGTTCCTCTTTTTATTATTTTTTCTACAGCTGGACAAACCACCGGAAGCACAGTGCTGCAGGAAGTAGCGCTGCCTGTCCTGACAACGGGCATGTGTCGCGAGAATACTATTTATGGCAATGCCATAAAAGACAGTATGTTCTGTGCAGGAGATCTTCAAAATGGTGGAAAGGATGCTTGTTCAGTAATATCTAGATAACATACTGTTAGATTTTAAGTCATTTGATGAAAAATTGCAGTTATCAATGTGACGTTTCTGTTTTCAGATATAGAGATATATTTATAGAGAAAATATCTTGGCATGCTCAGTGATGTCAGTGGAAACACTCGGAGATTTGATGAACAACCGTTTGGTCTTTAGTAGTCTGTAATTCATTTGAAATCTGATATTGCCTTTTTGAAATTAAAAAAAAAATACAAAGCCTGTGTAGCTTTACTTTTTTTTCTTGACTTTGATACTACATGGTTTCTTTTTCAGGGTGATTCTGGCGGACCACTACAGTGCCATGTACGTGGTGTGTGGACAGTAGCCGGAGTGGCCAGTTGGGGGAGTGGCTGCGGTCAGGCAGATAAACCAGGCGTATACACTCGTGTTTCAGACTACCTGACGTGGATCTGGGCAGTAATGTCTAGAAACTGATCTCGTCGTTGCTCGTGTATAGCGGGCATGTATGGGGCACATTGAATACAGCCGTTAACCACCAACGAGCACATCCTTGCAGCCTTGTTTTGACACACCTGCCTTACCTGTTGCTATAAACCGTACTTAGCTATCGTCATTTATGAGTAGCCTACATAACCGATTATTAAGAAACTGATCAATACTTGATGCATTAACTGACAGAAATTTCCTGAATAAAACCCTATTGGTGGCGATAAGTTTGTATAATTGTTTGTTAAAACGTTATCCATTTCGATTTAAGTGGCATATAAATATTTATTTTAAAACAAACCATTAGTGGCGTCACTTGTGTCGACCAGATCTATTAGTTACATTGATTGTAAACAATTGCAACTTGTTGTTACGAAAATGTCCCTTAGTTAACATATCCATTTAAATTGGCAGAGAGCGACATTATGGCCAAACTAAGTACCTGCTGAATCATTCCATCATTACACTTTTGGGAATCGGTCTAAAAGTGCATTAATTTAGACGTGCTTCAGGTGCTTCAATTGCCAATTTTGTTGACGTGTTTTGTTCTGAAAAATATATTTACCACACGTTTATTGTAATTTTTTTTGGGGGGAGGGGGGAGTTAATCCACACGTAAAGAACAAATGGCATTACTGAACATAAAGAACAAATGGCATTACTGAACAAATCTTTAAGGGCGCGTTTTTGTAAACCAGGATATGGATGGAGAGGCAAGTGGAACATCGCTCTCCTTTCAAATACGTATGTTTTATTAACATACTTTTACAAACAAGATATTTCGTGTGTCCTTAAGCGCAGATGCAGGATTTGCCCCAAGTCCCCATTCAAAACAAGATAGGAGGACTGAGCCCCTACCGCCCTTCTTACTGTTCTGCTTCCGCCAATGTAAACTGTAACGAAAGTGGCTATTAATCAATAACGAACTGGGATGTTGTTAATGAGATGGTCAACAGTTTCATTTTCTCTACTGACTTGCCAAAGAATGGAGAGATTGATGTTTTAAAATGGACTTGTTGACTGCAAACCTCTCTGTGAATGGAAACGGACTAAATGGTCAATTAACGGGCAAGGTGTTTGTCCTGTGCCTTCTATGGAATCCCAGGAGGGCCAAGCGAAAAAAAATTGAAAAAAAAAATTTTTTTTGAAAAAAAAAATTTTTTGAAAAAAAAAAAATTGAACACAAAATTTTGAATAAAA